CAACATCGTCCATGCCTTTCAAACTGCCGAGCGAATCCGAGCCGACTATCCGGACGATGACTGGTTCCATCTCACTGGGCTGATCCACGACCTTGGCAAAGTATGGCGCAATGGTGGTGACTCAATATTATGATTTAATTTTACTATCCTATTTATTCAAGGGCGATATGTAAAACGTTTTTGAGGGAAAGTGGTCCCAAACCATCAACATTATTCTAGAAGTCTCTCACTGAGATCTGGGATGATAGATACCTACTGAGACATCCTTAACAATCTAAATGTGTGATGACTGATGGCTTGCTACTTTTACGGATAATAGTTCCTATACAATGAAAGGAGAAGAATACAGGGTGAATTCCTGGTCCTCTGCCACCACTGTTCACTGTTTGATTATAAGTGTCAGGGTGGTGGATGGACTGGGCCCACTATTTAGGCAACACTATAACAAAATTAGATTCACATGTGTTCTCGGAGATATAGCTTTTGGTTTTATAAGTTTGAAGAACTTTATCCTAATTAAGGTTGTTTTTGCAAGGTGATGGCTTTCTACAATGAACCTCAGTGGGCTGTAGTAGGTGATACATTCCCCGTCGGATGTGCCTGGGCAAACTCTATAGTGTACCGAGATTCAAGCTTTCATGACAACCCTGACGGCAAAAACCCCAAGTACAAGTAAGATGTTTTGTCTGTGATTTGAATATCCTTTTAATATTAAAAATGCATATAAAAGAATAACCTCCATGTCACAATTTTGCTGTATTTGTAAGTATCAAATGTTTAATTCTAATTGTATGTAACTTGAAACAAGTTAGATTTTTCTCGTGGAAAACAGATTATGAGCAAAACCACTGTTGTTTGACAAATGCAAATCCTAGAGTTGCTAATAAACAATATCATGTGAATTCAAAAATTGTATATTTAAAATTGTAATATTTTATGATTCTGCTTGTTAAAAATCTGACAAAAAATTTTAATTTAGATAGTAAAAAGACAAGGATTTCCTTTACATAATGTATAAAAACCTCTGCCGCAGCAAACCTGCAGACTAAGCAAATTTCCATTTACCTGGCTGTATTTCTACTAAAATATTCCCTTAAAATTGTCAGATTTATTTTCTATTTAAATAACATTAATTTTAACGAGTACTTAGATTTGCTTCTAAAGGGAAAGTATTGAGCTATATATTTTTTATTGAAATGTTGATAACTTAGTATGGAATAAATAAAATTGACAAAACTAATTAAAATATGAATAACTTCTTGATCAGCATAGTACGTGTTATTAAATTACCTGAAAAAACTAAAATATATATACGTCTAATAACACTTGTAATAATATATTTACACTTATACTCTTGACTTACAAGACGGTAAATACATATAAAAGTTGGTAAGTGGTGATCGATTACGATTGGACACTCCAATCATCATCAGACCCAATAGGCGAATGGACCCATAAAAATAAAATCAAGCGCAGATCTTGACCTTGACTGTTAAGAGACAAGACTGCAATGAACTACATCCCTTAAATGCTTCCAGTTAATGAATAAATGTTTGATTACAGCACTAAGTATGGAATGTACAAACCCAACTGTGGCTTGGAGAATGTGATGATGTCGTGGGGTCATGATGAATATCTCTACAGGGTCTTGAGACACAACAACTGCAAACTGCCAGAGAGGGCCTTGTACATGATCAGGTATAATAACACGAGAGACCCACTATGAGCCTGTTGGGAAATAAGGTTACTGTATTAAATCAAGCTTTGTGTACTGAAATACCTACAAGGATATCCATACATCTGGAAATCTTTGAGTTATCAAGGATTTTGATAACCAGGAAATTTGAAATAATCTTCAAAAGCCTAAATGGGTTCTTTCGGTTCTCATTCAAAGGTTGTTGTGTAGTAAAAAGAATGCAATTGCTGGAGATCACGATGCTTTTGTATTTGCAGGGGTAAATGTATATAACCATTTACAGTTGAACATTTTTTTAATTACAATTTTACTGCATTTTTTGACTAATCAGAGCTATTTTGGTAATCTGAACAGGGTCCGGTCCCAATTGGTCTGGATTAGCGGGCCTAATTTTTACTAAAAATTTACCATACTATATTAAGTGAGGTCAATTGTAATGTTAACCAAAAATATGTTCATTATGACAAACATCTACTTGTACCTTGTACCTAATGATTCTGAAACTTTATAGCTCCAACTGTGAACATTTTGTGTCCTAAAAAGATTAAGCAACATAAATTCTTTTCACACTATATAGCTTGACATTGATTGACTAATTAGTTTTTCTTTTGAGTTACACTCTTAATACTCACTTTTATATATAATGTTCATCTTCTTGGTAGTTCCTATTTTACTGATACAGTAGATTCCCTCTTATCCGGACACCTTCTAGCCGGACATCGGTTTAACCGGACTACACTCGGTAGGAATTACATCTCTTTAACCGGACAATTTTTATCATCACATCGGTTTAACCAGACTAGATCGGCAGGAAGTGGGCGGTACTGAAACGACTGTTCTTGTGGGAATGATTTGAGACCAGTGATTACATGTCTAAATACAATGCTCTCCTAATTTTAAGTCAAATACTGTATACAGTATGGATTTAAACAGTCTGTTTTAACAAGTTTTTGGGGACGTCAGTTTAACCGGAAAAACCATTATCCGGACTGGCCTCGGTCCCAAGGAGTCCGGAGAAGAGGGAGTCTACTGTATTATTAAAATGGGTAGGATAAATTATTTGTTTTTAAGAAAAAAAAAAGAAATGAATACAATTAAATAAACAAGCTAAACTTTTAACTTGATAACTAAATAAATACATTAGTTCAAAGTACCTGATTTACCATTGCAATAAAAAACTCTTTCAGAAACCACAAAAAGGTTGTATGGCCCTTATATAATATTGCACTTAAATAGGTATTCAAAGATTCAGTCTATTAAAACAAGAAGTAAATCAGAAGTAAGAAGTAAGCGCAAGGAAATAATTAGTACTGCAACACCCAAAAGCCAGTAATTTTATACAATTTTGCCTTCTTACATTACTTGAGAGGAATTAATTATTGTTTTATTTAAAATTTGAATCCATGGATTCAATTGAGGTACCTGAACAAATATTCAGCAACTTAATTTCAACTAAATTTGTTTATTTCAAGATTTCATTCCTTCTACCCTTGGCACCAAGGTGGTGACTATGATTACTTGTGTTCTTCCAAGGACTTGGACATGAAGGAGGATGTGATGCTGTTTAAGTAAGTATTGACTATATAATACAACAAAAATGTCAAAAAAATGTGTTTTAGTCAACCATTTCTTAAGTTTTTGGGCAAAATTTGCTTCCTGTCTAGGGGATAAAGAATTCTCTCTGATGTGCAAAGCTGTCTGAATGCAGAGGCGACGATAAGAACCCGTGCCCCCCGCCCCAAGTTTGTTCACCGGGCCCCTCCTCTCCCAATAATCGAGCATTTATCGGACTAGTAGGGGATGTCTCTGTATTTAGGACTTTAGTTAGCCCTGGAAGTCTGAAAAACGCCAGTCTGTAAGCAAAGATTCCTCTAATTCAATCGTCAGGGTGGATACTGATGACCACCTGTGGCTGGCTCCGTTGTTAAAGTATGTACAGGCTTTCATGCACTTTCCAACACACCAATGCACATTTTGTACGACTAACCTCTTTTCTGCATACACGTCTGTCAACTGACAACAGTTATCACAATTCCTACAGAAAGGTAACCAACCACAGAGTGTGATCCATGTTTGGCGGGTGGCTCAATTTTCTATCACAATGTTTTTTAACACTATGACTAGAATAATTATTGACCCATATGGGTGGGAAAAGCTTGAACAGAAGTGAAGGAAGAAAGGAACGTGACAATGATTTTAGATTTGAACTAGCTTGCTGGGTTACAACAAGAGCTCACTGGGGACGTTTATCTACCCTCGTAATTGAATCTTTCTGCAAAATTATTACAATACGGCAGAACATGTAAAATTGTATGTTATATTATCTTTATCAATGTACACACAAATAAAAACTTTAAGTACAACACTATAATGACATTCATATTGCAAAGATTTAATTGGCTGAAGATAAAATTAAGTTGTCATTTCTTAAAATAATGTATAATAAATAGAATGTTAATTGATGAATGATTTTGTATGTTGCAGCAAATATGATCTGTACACCAAAAGCTCGAAAGTTCCAGACATTGAAAACTTAAAGCCCTACTACCAGTCTCTTATAGACAAATACATTCCTGAGTTATTGGAATGGTGAATTCTGCATCACTTGTTTGTCTTTTACTTCAAGTCTTAGTTCCTGCTTACTTTAAAAAATGAATTAAGGAGGAAATTTTAAAATTTGTGTGATGACTTCAATGCTATACATCAAGCTGCTTTGTAATATATTAAATTTTATTAAATATTTATTATACCAAAGTCTCTTTCAATCTTATTCTAAGATCTGTCATCTCATGATGTTAAAATGTTAATAATGAATGTGATACTTTTATACATTCTCAAGTGTTTAACAAACAGTTATAAAAGGGTCAAGACCTGTTTTCCTGCTTTTATCAGTTCTTTCCCCAAGGTTGGGCTTCCAGTCATTTGGGAATTTTTATATATTTTTTAATACATTATTTTATTTTATTTGATTTGGAAACAGCATGTATATTGGATGTTTTGTACATCTGATTTTTGTTTCCATTCAACTGTTGTTTGGATATTGTTTTTGTAACCATTGATAATATCCCTCTTCACAACAAACATTATAACTACACCATTGACTGGAACGCACCGCTTATTTTTGAGAGTTTCAAACTTATTTTAAGTTTTTTGATTTCCCTGATATATTTTTACATTCATCAAAAGCTAAGGTGTAATCTCCACTGCCATGATTTTAAATTATAATGATGTTGCCTACAAGTGTGTAAATATTAAGGCATTTTAGGATACGGTATGGTTTAAAAATATTGAAACTGTAACAGTATTGTATTCAATATTTATTTATTAATTTATCACTACACTGAAGCCCTGTTTATGTTTTGAATCCAAACTAATGAGTTTTTATAAAAATAAAGACAAAAATACATGTATATACTGAAATGTTGAGGACCTGATTACAATTAAGCTCTAAAATTTTCTATTAAATAATAGTTATAAGTTATTACATTATGAGTGTAACCAATTTATTTAATTTCTAAACAAGACTCTAGTGCATATAGTTATCAAGGACATTAAATAAATTACTTAATATTACAATTAATCACAGAACACTATCCTAAACCTGCTTACAGCCTACCAAATCCTATCTTTGGTCTTACTACAAAAAACTTCTTCATTGAATGTTTCAGAAAAATACAAAGGTCAGCAAATAATTGTTTCTGTTTAGTTATTTTCACTTAAATATGTTTTATTGGTGATAACTAATAATTTTACGTGATTCTTCATTTAAAAATACATTTCAGTTGAATTATTTGAAAATATTTAGGGATAAATCTGCAGTACCTTGGAGGTTATTCAAATTAAATAAGTGTGATATGGCTGACAGTTGAAAAGAGTTATGAATATCTAAAAAATCTGGAATTGGGAGGATTGAATGAAATCCATCAGTTAAAGTAACACAAGTACTATTGAGGAGTTGAATATGAAATATAACTAATTTAGTAATGATAGAAGTTTGATGCATGACTCAGAGAATTGTAGATGAATTAATAACTGGGCTTAAGATCCTAGGTACAAAAACATTAACAAACAATATAATTAATCTAAGGTAAAGTGGTCAAGTAAAAAAGGCAGTTAAAGAACTCAATCCTGAAATTACTACCTAAATTGCAGGGCTGGAAATTTCATTCTTCTTCTTCATATTATTCTTTATGACAGTTTTTATTGCACTTTTATCATCAACAGATTATATAGATTAGTCTAAATATGAAATAAATATTAAATCAAATGTGTTAAATTATAAAATTCTTTTGCTGTGAGCTCTACACAGTATGTGTATTCCATACAAAATTTCTAAAAAAAAAAAATTAAATTTCCAACAGAAAAAAATAACAAAATGAAAAACAATTGTAAAAAGAATACAAGGACAGATCAAGGACCATGGAATTACAGACTTGTAATAATAGTTAATAAAAATCATAAATTAAATCTAAGAACTGTAATGGTAAAACTTAAACATTTCAAAACAAGTAAATTACCCTGTAACAAGTTAATTTTTAATGGTAAAAAGCGTGTTTAACACAGATATCAATTCCATTACAACCTTTTAAACACCGGTATCTATAATAAAATAATTAAACATTATGCGTAGCCTAATCTTAATACATCTTCTGTAAGTATTTAAGAGTACTATTTAAGAGAATTATTTGTCACAGGTAGATCATGTTTGACGACAATCAGTGAATGATATAATTAAGTCGTTCGGCTTCTTACTATCTGCCCCCAAAATACATGTTATTGATTATTGTATTATGTACATATTTTTATTGTATTTATTATTACGAGTCATATGATAAAATATGTAAAACTAATACTTAACGAAATACCTGTCAAAATAAATAGTTATTGTCACAAATAAAAGCTAAGATTGGAATAGCATTAACAATGTTGTGAGTGAATCACATCTTCACAACGTAACTGCAAAAACGTAACTCTACTTGTCTCGGCCAGAAACGGATGTCAGGACGCTTGGAAATACAAGCTGAATTGATGGTGCTCATGCAGTCACGGTTAGACCGTAATCCCCTAAAACGGAAATAAATCAGTAAAACTACACATTGGCAAGTGAGATTTCAAACTGCCAGGCGCAATGAAAGCAAATAATTTAAGCTGCTGCAACCGAAGCGACAAAAAAGTAGAACTCTTGAAATCAATAGTGATGTTTTAGTTCAAATTAAAACCACACACAAACACAAACGAGACAAACCCCACTTTTGGAAGTAAAAGGTTGAGACAAAATTGTAGTACATAAGACATTAGAGTTTAAAAACTTTGAAAAGTTAAATGATAAAGAGGCGAAACATGTAAACTGTTAATAACAGAAACGTTTAAAATGAAAAAAAAAAAAAAAATAAAATGAAGTGAATAAAAGTTAGGCATATAGTAGTGTTGTTAGTAAAATTATCTGATCTACAACTTTGTAAAAAACAATATTATTATAAACAGATTATAAATTGATTGCACACATCTTAAACCTCAGTTCACAATAATTAAACTCTAGTCCCCTTTGTTACACATATTTTTTCTGCATGTAAACAGTACAAGACATTTTCATTCATTTTATGAACATGGATGGTAAACTAATTAAATTAATTTTTATAACCGATACAATTTTGTCAACTAACAATAACCAATGTTGAACGTTTTGGCATTCACAACATTGTTTAGGATTCATAGTAATTTTTAATTTAATTTAAGTCTCTATATTAAATTAATATAACATTCATTATGTATGTAACAGTAAAAGCACTTAAAACAATTTTCATAGGGAAAGAATTCTAAAGTCAATTTACCCTAAATTCCATAATCTTCCAAAAGTCATTAGATATAGATATACCTATGTAAAGATATGTTTGTAGCATTGAGTAATCATGTATTCAATCACCTTCAAGAGTTCAACAAAAAGTTTAAAGACACAGCACATGTTCAAGAGAGGCCAGGGGTGTGGAAGACCTTATACATTACTACAAAACTAAATTATGCATATGGAAATATCCAATCATGAATTATTTTTCCAAGTGAACCACAAACGTCTATTAGTTATTTAATACTTTTAAAATTGTTATTGTTGGATAAGTTAACTGAATCAGTTAAATTTAGCTGTGAAAAGTGTTACGTGTATGTAGATAGCACTTTATAAAACATAAATAATATAAACTTAAAATAACTTTTCAGGCAAACAAACTTAACAAAAATAATTATTAGGGACAATAAAAAACTATTTATTAGGATCAGAAAAGCTACTTTAGTCTAGGTGGGAGGAATATACTCTCCTCCTTGATTTTTATTAATATTAATGTTTTTAGTACAATATCACAGAACAGATTTATAGGGGACAGATATACAGTAGTATGAAATCATATCTAGGAGTTGAAGATGTTAGACTCAATCAGGCATAAAACTTTGACTTATTGGACACTCAAAATCAAACAGGCCTACATATTGGGAAGAGACATGATTGCCAATATTAAGAGAATAAGATTACAAAAAAAAATTGTACAATATCGAACCTTAAAAATACCCAATAAATATACTACAGAAGTGAAAATTATGGTATAAGCCTCTTAAAATGTCTAACAATTATTATCCAGCATTATTACCTTCTTCATTTTTTTCTCATTCTGAAATATATTAGTTGAGAGGGTAACTAATATATGGAATCACAGTTGACATTTAAAGCATTTTAATATGATTAGAAGTGTGATTGGTATGATTATAAACCTGAGCCGACCTACAACTTAAGAGATTGAACGCCAAGTCAGAAAACAAACGCAAAACAAAGACTGCAAGGATCACGGTCAAAATAGAAATTGAAAATTCTCTATTTTGCTGAGAATGCAGATGACAACGATAAAGTTTCTGTGACTGTAGATGTTGAATATTGTACTGTATAAAAATGTCCATACAACCAAAGTAGAAATCTAGGATTAGCCGCGACAGCCCAAGGCGATGATTAATTTTTTCATGACATTGGATTTGACCCCCATTATGCCGCGATTGCAGGAAATTATGATGATGTTTCCATCGTTTCTGTTACTGCAGGAGATACTCAGGATTTTGCTGTGATTGTGGAAGACGATGATAATGTTTCCAAAACCCTGGTATATGTACAGGATTTGGCTACGATCGCCGGGGATGACAATAACATTTCTGTGATCACAGAAGACAGTTCTGATTTATAAAAACCGCAGATTTAGTTCAGAATTTTGCCGCAATCGTAGAAGACTATGGTGATGTTTCTGTTACCGTATTCAGGTTTTTGAAGTGTGGTTTGGAATGTGTGGAAGTGTGTGCGCAGGTGATGAGCAGGAATTTTTCTGCGGTTGCGGAAGACGATGATGATGTCCACACGAGAATGGGACTTAACACCACATTTATTATTAGTACATTTATTTAATACTGCATGTCTAAATACAGCATATTATTAAACTTCATTTTGAAAAAAAATTTGTAAATTATTTGTTTGTTTAGTTTGTTTTTTTACGGTATGTACAATTCATCATATAAAAAGCTTGGCTCAAAACCAATCAACCTCGGTTTGATCAAAAATCTCACTCTTGCACACCCCTAAATATGATATTTAGTCCTGAAACCAGGACAAATCAATGTACAATCACAAAATCTTTTTTTAAAACCCTTTTCCACTGAATGTAAAAAACTTGTTATGAGCTTTTAAAAGTTTGCTTTTAGCTTATTAATATGATTTGTATAATACGCTTTGCAAACTCTCTAAAAAGGACTTTTCTAGGTAAAGAAAATAGCAATTTAAATTATCTACAGTGATGATTGACATTAAGAAAGTGATTTACCTTTTTTATTTATTTATGTAATACCAACGGTCCCAACAAACCAATTTTGAATAATGATAAAAAATAACTTACGAATTATCACGGTTTACCCTGCTGGAAAACCTTGCTTTGTTAAATAAACGTCTCTTTTTCAAAATGTTGCAAATATATTACTTCACAAAATGAAGGCCAACATAATGTTTGGTTGCATTAAATGTCAGTTCAATATCAGAATAATGATCAGGAAATACTTCATGTCTGGCAAGAACATTGTTTGTTTCAAAACCAAGGAACTACTTTTGGGGAAAAAATATGTTCTACCTAATATTTTGTAAAAGCATTTTTCTTGGGGATGGACAAGACTGAACTTGATTGTGGAGACATCATCATCATCCCGAAAAAATCACATTTTTAATGCAGTCCTTCCCGAATATCGGGAATATTTCTTCCTGAAAATTCGCACATTTCGAAACTCATCCATCTCTAATTCAAACACTTACCATGAAAATGGATGAAACATAATAGAATTTAAGGTACATATTTATCCATATACTTTAAAATAAATAGGCTATAAATATAACAAATATTTTTAAAGAGCTATGATATAGGTAATAATTTAACATCTTAACTGAGTATTCATCATTAATCTTAAAGGTCACAATTATAACTAAACTAAACTAATGAAAATGCCAATATAACTTGTTGAACATCTATAAAAAATAAACTAATAAAAACAATAATACTATATAAACTATATAAATAAGTTAACAGTTAACAAATAATACTTATCCGTGGAAGGTGATGGTGGTAAAGAATAAAGATTCAAATGACAGGTACAACTATTATTGTGATTGAATCAATAGAAATATCAACTTTTGACTATTATCGTCAGTATGAACATGTTAACTACAAAATACTATGGTACTTTCCTGTTAAAGGGAACATTCATTATTATCGATGATTTTTTCTCGATGTATCGATATTAACAAATTGAAACATATCAGCTGACAACTACGATAAATATTGTTCAGTATCAACAAACAATAATGAAATGAAACTGTTAAAAAAATAACCTAACATAACTAACCAAACTTGCTGTAATATTTAAAAATTCCGTGTTTAACTTGCCTTTTCTGTTATCAAACAGAGTTTCTAAATGGTACAGCAAGTTTGGTTGGTTATGTTAGGTTAGCTTAGAACAGTTTCATTTCTCAATCCATATAATATACTATTTTAGCCTAAACAAGATCAGTTGTCAATTTGTAATGGATCGGAAAACAAAAATAGGTATCGATATATCGAAAAAATCATCGATAATAATGAATGTTCCCTTTAACAGGAAAGTACCAATACTATTAATGTAGTTATGTTTTAAGTTGCGTCAATGAAACTATCAACTGAAAGAATCATAAAAAGGAAAAAATTACATCAGAAAACGTTATTACGATCACAGATTAAAGGATGGCGCTTAAAAATAAACAGCGAAAAACAAAATAATCTGAAGAAACCAAAGCATCTAAAGATCTACAGAGACAAAACAAAAACAAAACAATCACAAACCGCCATAATTCACTAGGCAAAAAAAGAGTATTCTAGTTTAATATAATAATACTATAAAAATTAAGTTAGGTAATTATTTAAATACAACTCACAAAACTTGGGAGTTCAACAATAGGTAAATGCAAAAAATAACTAAAAATATATTAATTTTCTAAAATAGGTCTTCCTGTAAATATAATTTCCAATCACAATTCATACAACATTCAAGCTGAAATAATAAACCTGTAAAAATAAAGAGAACCATAATTTGGATCTTTAAAGCTACACCGTTTAATAAAGCTATACAATTAATAACAAAAAATATGAGTGTACGACTACCGTTACGGAATCGCAGCTAACATCTAAAGGGTATTTTAGTTCTATACAGTGTGATGTACTAAAATATATCTCTTTTGTGATACATATGAAAAATGTTTAGTGGTTATATATATACAGTGTTTAGAAGAAAAACGATAACAGAATTGCAGACTGTGAAGTCCCAAGTTAAAAAGTTAAAATTAAAAGTTATAAATTTAAAAAAGAGTTAATGTTTACAAGAAGAGTGTGGAGATTCCTGTGCTAGCGGTGCTTCTTTCATCCATTGGTCAATCTCAGACCTGTACATTCTCTTCTGTAGGATCTCCCTATTGCGGGGACGAACTCCAACAAAAGTAGCGATTCCCTGGAAAATTGAAATTGTTTGACTCATAGTCACCCAACTGCGGTTAAGTACACAAAAACGTATCGATTAACTTCGATTAACCTAATTTCTGTGTCAACCAAGCATGAAATAGATGTGTAAATATGTCAGTTTTAACTTTAAGTACGGAAGCATTTTTGTAGGTATTAGTAATAAGATTGCCTTCAACAAGAGTTGCAAGTAGAGTTGCACTCGATCCATATCCATACCACCTACCAAATACTGTCATTACGAGTTGAGTTAACCATTGAGCGCTGACAGATTGAGTGCTATCAAGAAGGCAGAACAACAAGACTGTCGCCAGCTGATATAATTATGTTATGTTGCCTGAATGTTATAATTATGTTATAATCCTGAATGACCAGGAGTAGTCATGTGACTTTAATACTGAAATTCACACAATTTATTATCACATTGAAAAATGGCTCTTCACATAACAAATGAAGCAATTGTTATATGGATTTGCCATGGTTAAACTGTAGTTTAAGAGTTTGATAGTTTTTTTTATTTTATCCTATTTTACACTACAGACACAAGCCATTTGGCCATAATATTACTTTTTTTAAGTGTTTAAAATGAAATTAAAATCCTTAATTTCAACAAGGACCCTTTTTTTAGAGTGAACAAATTATACCGGATTGAAGTATAAAACTGGCACATCAAGCGGCAAGCAAAACAACGTTCCCTGTGCCAGGCTGAGCTCATACTGAATCTATACTTTAGAGTTAGGAATGCTACATCTTTTAACGTAGTCCGCCGCACACGCCAGTCCTGCGCTAAGTTAAATAACGCACTCAATACTAAATAACACAATATTCACACTCAATGTGTTAAATACTAGGTGTAATCAGGAAAAACTCACCCCGACAACCAAATCTGATCGTAATTTCTCTAAAATATGAAAGTCTTGAACCCAACTCTGAATCTCTTCCCATTTCAAATCTATCTCTTCATGAAGCAATTTTTCTTCTGTAAATTGACAAACATTTAGATATTAATGATAAATTTTTATAACACATTGCTGATACACACACTTTCTGAACAAAACTTAAAAAAAGGTTAGCATCTACTCTACTTTGAAAAAAAAGGTTAGCATCTACTCTACTTTGAAAAAAAGGTTAGCATCTACTCTAAAAAAAAGGTTAGCATCTACTCTACTTTGAAAAAAAAAAGGTTAGCATCTACTCTACTTTGAAAAAAAGGTTAGCATCTACTCTACTCTGAAAAAAAGGTTAGCATCTACTCTACTTAAAAAAAAGGTTAGCACCTAATCTACTCTACTTTAAAAAATGTTAGCATTCACCTACTCTCTTTTAAAAATGTCACTTGTTTGAGCTTTATTTGAAAAGGTCACACTATCTTTGGATTTGAGGAAAATTTGTGATTCCCACAACAACTTGACAGTTATCTGAATTTGAAAACCTGAAATTATAGTTTAAAGGGTTACAGGCAGATACATTTTTTTAGTGATGGTCAAAACCAGAAATTTCAAATCTAAAAACTAAAACCGAAACTTAAAAAATCGAATCCTGAATCTTGAATCTCAAAACCTTAATGCAAAACTTTTTAGTTACCTGATCAAGGTTGCTAAAAATACAGGTAGCCTAATGACAAAATTTTCATTATGGTCATGCGATCAAAACTGAAAGAGATCGACTCCTGATCCAGACATAATAACATAAATGTGACAGATAAACTTGAAACCCAAAATAGCATATTTTTATAAACAACAAACATTAACATAAACATGAATATTACACTCGAATTAGAACATTTTGTGGTCAATATTTCTTTGTGTTTAATATCAATATGAAACTGAATTGTAAGTTGTTCCAGTATTTAAGATGCTGTTTGTAGTTCGGAGTACAATTTACTTGTTTTATTAGTGTTGATGGATATGTGTTTGCTCCATTGCTACCAGCTTAAAATGACACAAAAAATGACAGCAGTTTCAAAAATAAAATTGCCAACATTTTCAATTTCAAAACTCGCCTACCAAATCTCGAAACCGAAACTTTTCCAAAGTTTTGATGGTTTTTTTTTTTTTGTTTTAAAAAAGAGGTTGGCGGCCTCTTTTAACCTTGCATTTGCCCGTCCACATAGACTAAGCGCCCGTGCGTGGATCGTTAACAGCAAAGCAAGGAGTGAGTCGGTACAGTACAAAGGTGAACTGTACTGATCGGCAGTGAGCAGGATCCGAACCCACGACATCGCTGCCTTGGGCCCGAAGTCCGCGACGCTACCGACTGAGCCACCGACTCACTAACACACACTAAATTGTTTTACACATCACTAAATTTTTTCTCAACCCAACAACATGAGCATGCAAGTTCCCGTCCCTTGAGAAACATATAATGAAACAAAAATACTAACCATCCCTCTTGGTAGTGTGTCTTTTGTACTGTATTCTGAACCTGAACGCCTCAAGAACAGAGGCAACAACAATGGTAAGCACCACCATCGTGGTCAGGTAGAACAGGATGAAGTATATCCGACTGAGGGGATGAACCACACTGGCGTAACCGGTCATCATGATGAACCAGTTGTTGACCACGGTCAGCTCAAACAATGTGACGTAGCTTGTCGCTAGGTTCTCAAATGTGTTGAGATAGTAGTATCCCAGGGCGGAAGTCTCATTTGCCGAGTATCTGTAAAAATCTTCCACCGCAGTTCCTCTGGAATAAAAAAGTTAAAAATGTATATATTCATTTTAAATGTAAACGTAAAAGTACAGTACACTGCGTATCTCTTTTGTTTAGTGTTATGGATTGTTAGAACGGCCACGTTGTCAACAAACAAGTCAAAACAATCTTCAAAATAAATACATAAGTTACAGCAAACTATTCTCTGTGACTGGGAGCCTAAATAGCCCTACAAAACACAGTCTTCGTCTGTACTACATAATTGGCTAAAGACACTTAAAGCAGCCAACGAGAAACTGAATAGGAGAAAAGGTATTATTTATAACTGTATTTGTCATCAAAATTAAGCAAAATACTAAAACAATGTAATTTAATTTGTCATAAGACTCAAAACTTGACCACTAGGCAGAATTACACAATGTATAAAGCTACTCAAACCAGGCAATTCGCAGTCAAGTATGAAAAGAATAATACTTGGCCGCAGCAAATCTTCAGAGTAAGAAAATTTCCGCTAGCCTATATGGATATATTGGGTGAAGGAAATTCACTTGCAGTTAGAAGCTTGATTATCCGGGCTAATGGGGGGAGGGAGACCACGGATAACTGAAAACCAACGGTTAATCTAACAAGCCATAAGCATTTATTACAAACTCATAAAACTCCTAATACTATCTATATAAAATGAAGAGTAATGTGATTAATTTACATTTTACATCATTAAAAAACATATAGCATTGCATAATCGTGATCTGTTAAGTTGAAAATACGTCTTACTTGCAACAGTTCTTCATGTCATAACCTTCGAACAGCTCCATTCCGATAATTGCGAAGAAGTAATACAAAACCAGCATGACAACAGCAGTGGAGCACATCAGCGGAGTTAGAAGAGCAAGAGTTCCAATGATGTCTCGGTAACGCTTCTTCATCTTGAACAAGTGAAGTAGACGAAGAGGTCTGACGACGACACCGTAAGTGAATGACGGCACCAAGTATATAACTGCCACAGCTACTAGGTTGCCAGCTGTCACCATCAGATCGTAAAAGTTCCATCCAGAGTGTAGGTAGTGATTCACCCCGAGACCTAGGATCTTCACAATAATCTCCAGCGATTGTACTGTAAAAAGACACAACGTTTCTGTATCTAACGGTATGTATATAATTTATATATAAATATTATATTGATGCAATGTGAATATAAGTTGATTAAACGAAACTTCTCGAGTACTACCAGTGACAATTTTTAAATCAATGATCTAACAGCTGTTGCATTTCAAACCCATTACGAGCTGTTGCATAGTAAAGTTGTAAATTTAATGGGGGATGGTAATCATTTTTTATCTGTAATTCTAATTAGCTCATGCATGAGGCACAACGAATGCTGGAAGTGGTGACGACTACTGTTATCTACCCTGACACCAGGGGCAACACAAGAGGTAGAAACGCTCCTGTCACAATTGAACGTCAACCGTTGAACAACGCAACAGGACCCGCTCTGTAACAATTTCTGGGGAGAGCCGATATAAAAAGTCGAAACAAGAACTGGTAAGAGCAGTTCAATTATACTTCTCCATTATATCCCATCTCAATTATATTTAATTCCCACCTACTTAAGGAGGTTCCATTATTATTTTTACCGGTTTTGTTAAATTTTTGAAATTCGCCCATGTCCTGGGCAAGATTCTGGACACTAATAGCTGTATATTCTGTTTTACATGAGAATTTGGGGGTTTACCAAGTACAGTAGAACTTCGATTAACCAGAGGCGGATCAACCTGGCAGGGGATTAACTGTGGCCAATAGATGCCTCTAAAATTAGGTTACTTAACCTCATTGTCGAAGAAAGTTTTATAAAATATGTTTTTTTTAGACTAATGTGTTGGAATGCATTGTAAATTTAACTATTCTGCCAATCATCTATTTGCAGTAGAATCCCACATTATTGCTTTTGAAACAACACAGTTCATTTGAGAAAAATAAAATAGAAGCAAGACAAAGAAGATCGATAGCTTTAAGGACAAGCTATCCGCTTGCACTGACAATCGTCTGCTCCTTACACATCTGTCTGCTGTGCTTGCTATATCACAGCAGTTTGTGATTTGTAACGAGTTATTTTTCCCAGGGGGGTATATTTTCGTTATTTGGGCCGCGCGTCTTTAGAGGTAAGCAAGCGGCGGCAGCGAACCTGGCTAGCGCCCTTTGACCCGGCTTATCAGTTCGGATAAACTTGGGTATCCCGGGACTACTGGATAGCCGAGAAGGACATTCGAGTCGTGGATCCCGGTCAGTGAGGATAGCGTGTGTCTAGTGAGACGTCCAGTGATTTGGGTGACATCGGTGTCGTCGTGGTTGGTGTTGTGTGAGGTGACAGTGAGTGTCGGTGATTAAGTTGGGTGTTGAGACCCACTGTTGGTGAGTGGACGACGTTCCTTACATTTTGGTTTAAGATTTGATTTAATAATAATCTTACATTTTATTGGTTGAGTTGTAACTGTGCTGGTTAAAGCCTGTATTTACAGGTGCCAGGAATAATATTAAAGTATATTCCTGACGGTTCTGGGCAGGTGCTAAAGCGCAAATAATATATTTAGTTGACTGTAGTAGATATTATTTTGCGTTGCACCAAGAGTTAGTTATATTACTAATAACTGTGAGGCCCGACAAACCTAGGCTACACGATTTGGCATGCGTAGTTGGAAGCACGAGGCCAGTAGGCTAGTAGCTAGTTTTATTAGCCTATTAACAGAAGCCCAGCTAAGCAATATAACGTTGATATAGTAGCAGTAGTGGTAGTGGCAGTAGGGTTGGTATTGATTAATCATTTGATTATTTTAATTTAACCTGAACAGCTTGCTTAGTAATCCAACACGTTATCTTGGTAGCTTGGATAGCGGAGTACCGGCTATCAGATAATATATTTATCTAGTGTCTAGTGTTTTAATATTTATTTAACTGCTACTAAGTAGCTCAATATTTTAATAGTGCAATTGCCATTTTAGTTTTGCTTATTTGGCTTGGTATTTATTGCGACCAGCTACTAGTGGTCTCGTCACTCTACCTATAGTGCACTTGTATTGTTATCTGATCTGGTATTATTATTGAGTGAACTGTTTGATTCTTAGCTTGGGCATTAGAGTTGTGAATTGGATTATAGTGGCCTAGTAGACCCCGCCTGGTGATAACTCGCGTTGTGGTTTTTATTGGCAAGTTGTCGTGTAACTCACCGTGTTTTAGGCACTCTGGGCTTAACTATTGGATAGTTAGGACGAAGCCCGAGTTGCGTAGTCAGCAACGACCTCCTAGGAGAGTGGAGAATCGGCGTAGGCCTGGTAGTGATTATTGCACGTTTGTTTTGGTGACTTGTTTTTGACTTGTTCACAGTGCCCGTGTATGAGTCAGTCCTATTCCGGTTAGACCCGGCTATTGGCCTAGTGGTTTCCCTGACCTTATCGCAGACCCTGGAACTTTACCCAGCCATTGTAGGCTGAGCTATCCCCGGCAAACGTTTGCATGCCCTTTTAATATTTTTTTTCCCAGTGCGTGGTTAGGGCGTCGCAGATTGGGCAATCAATAACCATGACAACATTAGTAGTCTGTGATTAGGTGATAGATAACCATAACAACTTGTTGAATGTGTGTGAAGAGAAACCCAAGAAAGAATAGAAGAAAAAATAGAAAGAATAAGCAATGTTTTTACGTGACTTTTATCTTTATCTTATTTTACGAATGTTTTTACAGGATGTCCGAAAAAGAACTGAAAAATTTTAAAGGCAAATACTGATTCCAAATAAGAGTTTAGGGCCTATTTCATTGTACTTTGTTGGCCATTCGTTATATTAACCAAATAATTAATTATTTGATACCAATGCATTTTTTCTAAATTCAAAACTAGGCCCAAACATATATCTAGAGCGGCGATGATAATAAACCTCTTGGAGTTATCTGATATTTGTTGGATTTTTTCTAATTAGTATTCTGAGCCAATAACCTTAACATGTAAACAAATGTACAATCGGGAACTCTGGGCAATCTTTTTGTAGACTGGGTTATCTGGTCAAAATAAAGGTATGACTATTTCAGCCAGAGATTTGATTTAATAATAATCTTACATTTTATTGGTTGAGTTGTAACTGTGCTGGTTAAAGCCTGTATTTACAGGTGCCAGGAATAATATTAAAGTATATAGTAGACGGATCATTGCAAGAATATGAAAAACAAGATTATTATTAGATTTGATTTTGTCTAGCTACAGATTTTTTTTTAATGTTTGTTCAATCAATACATCATTAGGAAAAAGTAGTTATAGTTTATATCTTACAAAATAGGAAGAAGAGAGCATCCCATGAAGCTAGAAACATTCTGGCAGCCGACTCCAAGTCTGTATATGTGTCTAGGCCTCTGTACACCATAGACATCCCATTGAATACCACAATTGCGCCTGGAAATAAAACGTAAAACTGATCAATAAATATATTTCTTGACTGCTCGAATGGCGACCTATACTTGCCGAAAAATGAAAAAAAAATTCGACCTCAAAGGGTTAAATCCAATGAAATCTATTATTTAAAAACAAATACAAATAGGAAAGCAATAAAAATAACTGAATAATCTATTGAATTGCTTCCAAAAACATTAGAAAGAACATTAGAAACTACAACAAATTGAATCCAAATGATAAAACATGATAAACCCCTAAAGGACATTTTTGGTGAATTGGTAGCACATTATGGGTTTGTGCCTAGTTCGTTCCTGTCTGCACTGGCTAACCCTGGTTTAGCTTGAAGCACAGACTTGACTCATATGGACAGAGAAATTAAAGGTTAAAAGAGGAAAGTTAGTAAAGAATGAAACATACAAACAATAGTTTCAAAGTGTGTCCACATGACAACGTTGTGCATGAGTTGGCAGAACCTCTGTAGAGGCATCCACGCGGAGTGGAACCAGGGAATGTTGGCGTACTGAACCTCCCAGTCTATGGAGACTGCGTCATAGACACTACAGAACTCATCTAGAGTGATTGCTCCGGAGTTGCTGGTATTGAGCTGTTTGAACATCAACAAGATGTCTCGGATACCTGCAAATGTAGTTGTAACTAAACTAAAGTAGAGATAATGGTGAACTGTGTGAACACATATTCATCTTATGGATCAGTTATCAGTAAGTGCTAGTTTCACAACCACACAGGGTGGTTTGGTCCTTGAGCTGCAAGTAATGTAAGGATTCTATTCACCGTCCATCAACTCCAAATGGTACAGTATAATTGTGAGGTTTTAGGACAAGTTTTCAATGTTGTAATCATGAATTTATTAATGGAACACAAACCTTACCTAAAAGTCAAGACTAAACCAAAAATTCACCTTCGCCCAATATTTAATTGATATTAACCACTCAATGGTAAAAAAGTATTCATAACCTACGTAATTTGATAATATCGAGTTTAGTTTAAATACTTTAAATATGAATGATTAAATTAACTTCTGGGAAAGACTTACTTTTCCTCGGAGCAAAGTATCGCATAAGTCCCTCAAACTGGCGGAACCTCATTTTCGTCGGGTTGTGTTTGGTGGTGAGAAGACAGAAAGCATGTTGGCATGCTTGTCTCTTGTGTAGAAGGAGCTTTCTGAACTTCTCCCTCTCTATGTTGGTGAAAGTTTCGTAAACCACAGCAAGCATCTGCAAGAGACGCAAGTTGTACCGCAAGTGTTAGGTTACAGTTCACTACAAGAATAGCATATCATTGCAAAACACCAAAAAGTTCAACTTTAACCCGTATGGTTAAAATCAGTAACATCAGCCAAATAGGCTTGTAAAAGTTTTTAAAATTATAGAAACCATTGTTTGGGAAAAAAATTTAATTTTATTTAACATTTTCTATAAAGTACAGTCGTTTATAAATTAAGGCCTTCTTGAACATGATCAAAAGTGTTATTGTTTCTTGATTATCTGACCTAAACCAGCTGTGGTGAGGCCAGGTAGCATGAAAAATAATAAAAAAAAACACTGTAAACAATTTTTGTAACAGTAAAATATATGACAAGTAGCTGTTTGTTAAAACATGAGGATACTAACTATGTCGTCGTAACAATCAACGATCAAACTATCAAGTATAAAGAGCAGCTGTTTACGACTTACCAGGTTCATCAAAACGTAAAGGCAGATGCAGAGGTAAGAGATGAAGAAAAGAGAATACCACTTAGACACGGCATACGCTGGCATCATAACATCAGGGAAACTGCAACCAGCAAACAAAGACTTGGTAGTATCAAGAAATGGTGAAAATAACTTTCAAGAAAGCTACAGATAAAAGTGTTAAAATCAACGTTAGCTATCATGATGACTTACTTTGCTGTGGTGAGAAGAACAAACATACTGACGAAACTGTCAAACAACGACTCGAAGTAAGAATGGTTGGGCATGTTGGAGAACAGATAATAGCCGAGGATGGCGTAAATAGAGACAAAGAAGAATATGAGAGCGAGCATGTCGAAGATCGGAGGCATGGATTGTAGGATTTGACGAATGCATCGACGAACGCCTCCGAGATGTCGAGTATCCACTAGGAATATTGGCCGCAGCGCTCGAGTCACTCGGAAATGTGAAGACTGACGAACGAGAACTGTGACTGCCTCCACGAACATTATTGCCAAAGTGATGCACTGAAACAACACACATCCTAAGTGCTTATCACAGATCACGTCAACTTAACAAACAGAAGTACTAATAGCATTTTGCATAGACAATTCTCTGTTCTTTGTTTCGGCCTGCATTCAATAATGTTACCTGACATACTTGATGAGTGGTATCCTTTGATTTGTAACTTGAAAATTCACAAATTAAACCTTGATTGATTAAAAGGACTACCACTATTTCAGAAAATCACTAATTTCAAACAAGAGTCAAGAGTGTATTCCATTGATCTATATTTCACAGAAATAGAAACAGTCAATACTTACTACTTCTTATCAAGTCATTTACTACTTGCTACTTGTCAAGTCTTACTACTTGCTAATCGGCTACATGAAATTAATTAACTAAATCTATGTGAATAGCTTAAAAATTTACATTGAATGTAATCTCATTAAGTGAATAAATTGGATGAAGTGGATGAAATAGATTACAACAAACTCTATTTTGCGTTTTGATTTCATTGTACGGTACTAGTGCAACACCCTATACGTTACCTTGAGCATGGTGCGTTTATGTTTGAGAAGAGCTCCCCAACCAATCCATCTTAGTTTCAGTGTCACCTCAGCTCCAATCACAGCCAATGCTATCAATTCTATCATCCCGTGAACTCCGACTGGCAACTGTAAATAAAACGATACAATAAAACCTGATACAGTGGAGTAGTAACTAGAGGTGGATGTTATTTATAGATTACCGAGAATATCCTATTATTTAGTAATGTTATCTGAAATGTTTAAACAAACGAATGAAACAACTATGTCTAATCCCGTCTACCTATTAACAGCATGGATGACAAAATAATGTTACCTTGCCAATAGATCACCGAGAATACAATTATTTTTGTAACGTCATCTGAACTGATATAATGAACGAATGAAATAATACTGATTGTGTCTTCCTAGTAACAGCCACCCAGCTTACACATCCTTGACGACGAAGTAATATGAGGTGACAAGAATAATAGTATTGTTTCACCTATGGTGTCATTTCAGGATAAAACTAAATAATTATAGATATCACCGTCTTTTAATGTGTCAAGTTAATGGATTTGTCTTGCCAAAATACACATTGTATTTGTCAATGAAAATACCCAAGCCTACAACAAGATAGCCCAGTGTTTCGGGAATGTGTTTGTAAATTAATCATAGTCTCGTGACTTTTTGCTCAGGGTATTAGTATTAATCACAATCACATTAACTCTAACATATACATCAGTAAACTCATCACGACCCGTCAAAACATATCTTGGGCCTGTTTTTGAATTTGGGATAAGAAGTGCAGTTAAGTAAGTTGTTGGTTTTTAATAGTGGTTGATCACTCTGTCTCATAAGTAAAATAAAATAAAATATTGTTTAGAGTTGATAAATACCAAAGTATTGGGTGATTAGAATCTACACATTTGTGATCACAGAATCATGCCCGGCACATGGCTGAAAGACATAAAATATGTACGTAAGAGAACATGTAAAAATAAAAAATAATAAACTAACTAGAATAACAAATTATTTTCAACCAGTCTTCATATAGATATATCTGTCATATACAAGTTACAACATTTCTAATTGCAATTTAGTGTCTATAAAAGCCTCTATTTTGGATACACAACAAAATGGTTGCATACCAACTAGAATCATACAATTATCACTATTGCTAATATTTTTTGAGTACTTTGGTCTTATAACAAAACAACCAAAACTAACGGCTACACCTAATAATTATAACATAACCTAACCTAATCTAAGGTGGTTAGGTTAGGCAGATTTTGTTATTTAAATCTTATGTGGAAGTTGATTTATTGATTTATAATACCAAAATACCTATTTTGGTTATACTGAGTATGATGTTACCCTGAACAGTGGCACCGCAGGGTCCTCCACTAAGGCTAAGGCGAGTAGCAGCATGGAAGTGGTCAGGTCTAGTCCGTAGTACCATCGGTTGTGAACCAGTAGATAGGCTGGCAACGCATCTGGCTCTCTAGGGTGGGAGTCAAACTTCTCGTTGTTCTTCCCTTCCTGAAATTAGTATCATGTACTTTTGTACATTTGTTGTGAGCCTTTTATATTTTTGAAAAATAGACTAAAACAAAAGGTTCTCAATTCTTGAAACTGAGGTAGGATCAATCAGTTGTATTTCTGTATTGGTAATTAGTCTGAAAGCAATGATGAAACAGGCGAAAATGTAATGAAATACACACCATCAAATTACAACACATTTACTCAAATTTTTCAAGGCAAAATTCTTATACCCAGTTAGAAATTTTAAATTGCCAAAGTTATTTTGTGCAAATTCAAAGAAACTCTTTCAGAAACACAAATATATCACCAGACAGTTTCCTCTTTATTTTATTTTGTTATGCATATTTTTCAGTTAATTACTTATACTTGTCATTTTCAGATGAACTAAACATATAATTATAATACCTTTCAAGGTAAATGTTAGTATTGTTATTAGAGCCAGATTATACATAAAATAAGATAATCAGTATCAGACCATTTTACGTAAAAGTTAATCTTAAATGCAACTTATTCAACATTAACCTAGTAAAATAAAAAAAATTAAAATCATGATACGGAAAAAGCAATGCTGATGTAATTAAAGTGGCAAAAAAAATGTATTTCAAATTCCATCAACAATGACAAAGATGATAGAAAGTGTATTGTAATTATTTTTAATTGGATGCAAGCTTAATCAACCATTGATTTTGTATAAAATCAAACAGCCACTCTCTAACTTGACAAAAATACCCAAATTGTCATCAAGTGCAGGAGATGTATCTCTCTTAACCTTCCTTAAATCAAGATCATTCATGAACCATTCATTACCATTTACCATTATGCGCTCACAAGCCTCCTGTGCCCATTAATATTGGTTGGTGCAAAGGTTTCAATGACATAACCAGTTCAGAATATGGTGAGTTTATCTCGAGATGGGGATAGTAAAATTACAAAGAAAACATAAAACTAAATGTGGGTTTAGAAAACTATTTGGAAGGTCAATTGGTGTAGAGTTCACTTAATTTAGTTTAACCTGCAATCCCAATAGACATCTGTAATCTCCATAGACACCTGCGATCCCTATAGACAACAGTAATCTCTGCAGGCATCCGTAATCTCTATAGAAACCTGCGATCCCAATAGACATCCGTAATCTCTATAGACACCTGCAACCCCAATAGCCATCTGTAATCTCTATAGACACCTGCAATCCCAATAGACATCTGTAATCTCTATAGACACCTGCAATCCCAATAGACATCCACAATCTTTATAGACACCTGAAATCCCAATAGACATCCATAATATCTATAGACACCTGCAATCCCAATAGACATCCGTAATCTCTATAGACACCTGCAACCCCAATAGACATCCGTAATCTCTATAGACACCTGCAATCCCAATAGCCATCTGTAATCTCTATAGACACCTGCAATCCCAATAGACATCTGTAATCTCTATAGACACCTGCAATCCCAATAGACATCCACAATCTTTATAGACACCTGAAATCCCAATAGACATCCATAATATCTATAGACACCTGCAATCCCAATAGACATCTGTAATCTCTATAGACACCTGCAATCTCAATAGACATCCATAATCTCTATAGACACCTGCAATCCCAATAGACATCCCTAATCTCTATAGACACCTGCAATCCCAATAGACATCCGTAATCTCTATAGACACCTGCGATCCCAATAGACACCTGCAATCCCAATAGACATCCCTAATCTCTATAGACACCTGCAATCCCAATAGACATCCGTAATCTCTATAGACACCTGCGATCCCAATAGACATCTGCAATCTCTACAGAAACCTGTGATCTTCACAGACACTTGTAATCTTTAACACCCGCAAACTCTAAAGGTATTGTATTTTCTTCACACAGATTTACTCTGGCTAGAACATATCCTCTGTAGTTATTACCTCTAGAAATATAGCAGCCTCATGGTAGTTCATCTCCCAGTGTTGGTCCACATCGTAGAAACTGTCAGCTGGACTCGTCAACTCCACGCCATTGTTGTCAGGTCTAGTTAGGTTACTCTGGCTGCCTATCTCATTGGGGTAGTCTTGTGTTGGAACACTACGATCTAAGGAAAAATGTTTTAGGTTAAACACGTTGCTTGCTAAACTATTCCTGATACGGTATAGTCAAGGTTTACATAAATATACCAGAAACTTACTATAGGTAAAACTACAGAGTTATTAACATTATTAAATTGTCAAGAAATATATCTTAGTAACCATTTTACATCTGATCAGATTAATTAAAATATTTTTTAAAGTTAGTAAACATTGGCTAGATTGATTTGTTTCTTAATTGTACTATATCATTTATGAAAGATGCTGATGGTTAATTAATGTTTCATTGATTCCCTGCATTCTAAGTTTTCAAGCGGCACTAATTGTTGTAATAACGGTTTTTGCCCATCGGCTTGGTAGATAACAGTTGGCAATTAACAGGCAAACTCACACACAATAAAAGGTTGTAGTAGGAGAAAACTGTTTATAAATAAATAAAATGCCTATTGATCTAGCGTTTCTAAGTACATGCTGTTTTTCAGAACAACTTTTGCCTTTATAAAATAGTAAAATAAAAACCAAATTAAATATCAAAAATCAAACTAAATTAGCTGATGACATCAATATAAAAATATCTGGAAATTGAAATTCTAATGTGGAAGTCTCATCTTTTGTTGAGCTTACCAAATGTAACCAATATTTAAATGAAATCAATTTATTACCGAATCCAATAAAAACTAATTATATAAATTTTTCTTCAACAAGCAAAAATACACCTTATTTTAATATTTTTATGGATACAACTTTACTAAATGAAGTTAAAACAGTAAAATTTCTTTGATTGCATATAGATGATAAATTCAACTGGGACAGTCATGTTGAAAATGTTTGTAATAAAGTCAACTCAGGCATACATATGCATTAAGACAGATGTCAAAATTTAGTAGTTTAAAAACCTTAAAAATAGTATATCATTCCCTGATTGAATCACACATTTCTTTTGGGTTGTGTCTTTATGGGGGCACATCAAATTTTTACCTAAACAGCATTCTGGAACTTCAGAAAAAAGCAATTCGCATCATGCTAAAACTAAAATCAAAAGAATCCGCAAAAGAGCACTTTAAAGAAATAGGAATTATGACTGTTTTTAGCTTATACATTTATCAAATAACCCATTATATTAAATCAAACCATGAAAGATTGCCAAAATTGAACTCTTTTTATATGTATTCAACCAGAAAAGGTAATGAATTGGCATTCAACAGACACAATTTATCGGTTTACGAAAAAATGCCATCTTATAGTGTGTTAAATATTTCAATAGCTTGCCTGACAATTTAAAAAATATAACTAATTTTAATTCATTTAAAAATGTTTGAGAATATTTCTCACCAACTTCTTGTATAAATTAGAAGATTTTTTTCAACTTCCTGAAATTTGATTTTTTGATAGTAACAATATTCCCTGTAAGTAGTCTTAAGTTTAATATTGTGTTTTTATAACTGACTCCATTCTGTACAAAATGTGCAATATGAATAAAGTTATTTTGATTGATAAGACAAAGTAAATAAAAATAACAATTAGGCATTATTTAAAGTACAAGCCTTTGATTTTTATCCTAAAAGATAGAATTTAAATTTCACGATTGATTACTACATGTAGTATAAAATATTATGATGTTAATGATTATATGTTAATGTATAAGATGTTAATGATGCTAAAGTAAGACGCTAATGAAATCTCTTCTTTTTTCATCAGCATGATAAAGGTTAATGCTAATTAATTGCTTGTTATATAAAATCAAATAATACCCAAGAAAACTAAAATATTGTTTTCTTTCCCGTTCCATAAAACAAAATTTGCTGAAATATCTCGATTTACATTATAAATAAATATCACCTAAATTTACCTTTACAAGTAGAAATATAGTGAATATATCCACAGTGTGAACTGTTGATTTTGTGTAAAATTATTGAGTTTCTGATCACCATTCTATTGAGTTAACACTCTGATTATGTTGAGTTAACACTCTGTTTACAGCTTGTAGTTGCTAGAGAAAATAAACTAGTAGGCTATGGAGATTAGGAATACAGAAGAAGCGTTCATAAACTTAGAAACAGTTGGATGCCTACTACGTCATTATTACACAGCGAGATAAGTTAAGTTCTGATCCGATAACTTAGTTTGGTTTTAAGATTTTGTGCCAGATGACTAATAAATTTATTTATTTTTCGTTAAAGAATCATAAAATCACAAGTATTTTTATACTGATGAAAAAGAGATGTAGGTATTTTAAAGTTATTTAACTGTAGTTTTTTATCATTTTAGATTTTTAGTTAAGTTAACAGTTATTTAAATTTTCTTTTGTTAAGATATGCCTACCTTCAGATGTATACGAGTGGTACATTTAAAAAAGAACATTAATAAATGGAAGCAAAATTTTCCTTTTCTTGTGACTTTCTTAAGGTGGATAATTTAATTGTTATTAATTGTTGTTATTTTTATAACCAGATCTTGTGATTGCCAAATATTTTTGAAACATCAAGATCAAATCTAACAACACAGATCCACACAGTGGCTGTGGACAGTTTAGAACATATTTTCATTACATGTTACATACAAATGTAGATGAATCCTTGAGAAAACAAATGTTTGTTATTGTTACAACCTCCCACTAAATTAAAGCAGGAACATGTTTTGTAAGATAATTCAGTTCAGCTCTAAAAATAGAAAGAAAATATTGTATTCCACTTTTTTAATATTGCCGATACTAGAGACAAACAAGTTAGAATTTTTTTAAATTTTATACTTGTAATTTAATTTATGAAAAATCCTCATTACTTTTCTTATCCCCAAAGTATAAAAAACATGATAGGCCACTATCTGCACAGGGAAATTCAAACAAAGAATGAAAATCTTATCAAAGTGTTATCGCTTAGGTGATGACTAAACATTTACACAAGTGTAACAAAGCTTTGAACCAAGTCTACCAAATATCCTTGCAACAGTGAACCAAAACAGACACTAATAAACGGTTAGATACAACATCATGAGCTTACTTATTGAAAGGAATTCAAAAGCAGTTGATATGCTACAGTGTTTTATTTTTTTTACAAGAATAAATGATTAAATATATTCAATTGTGTGTCGCAAATGATATTAAACTAGTTATTTTCCCAATATGCAGGGCAGTTTGGAAAAACACACTTTTTATTGTTCAGTATAATTTACCTTTATTCGGTAGCCTAAGGTGTCAACAGTTGGAGTTCCGCAGTACGCGATTAATGTCAATTACGACACATCTTCAATAAATAAAACAAACAACACAATTACAAAAACGGACAAGACAACGGACACAAGTTATTTACATACACAGTTTATGACATTGACGAACTCGGCCGAATCACAACATTTTTTAAAAGAATAACAGACGACGGTACGGCACAAAGGTTGTAGGCTAACGATGCAGCTGAAGATGTGTCGTATTTGACATGAAACGCATACTGCGGAACTCCAACTGTTGACAGACAACTTAGGCTACTGAAAAATGGTAAATTATACTGAATAATTGACAGCTGTAACAAACACTTTTTATATTAGGAGTTAATAAGAGGGTTCAGCAATAACCTGACATAGTATTCTTTTGTCTTCTGCTATCATAGAACTACTGGTCTATTGTGATCTAAGCTTCGTGAGGGTCTATTGGTGGTTGCAAGTTAATTGCAGACGGCTGGTCTCGGGCCAGCTATGTCAGGCATATCACTCCGATACCATTAAGTTATCGTGCTCGGTTTTATATATAAAAATTTATATTTAATTACATTACATACTATAGCGGAACAAAGTTATATACTATTAGTTGTAAACGTTGGCAGCAAAATCTAGAATATCTCTGGCCAAATGGCTTGTAGAGAGTAGAGGCTGAGACCAAGAGACGGGGCGCCAAAATATTATCTTTTGCTGGAGGTTGTTGGTAATGCTGTAGAGATGTGAAAGTGGCTAGATTTTCAAGAACAGCCGAACCTAACTTTAAGTCATTGAGCACTAAGTACCTGACGAGATTTTAATATGCATCATTATCACAACAGCATCCAATCAAGACCATGAGTGACTATTATGCGATGTGTGATTTTGTGACTTAAGACAGCTTATTTCTTCATTTTCGCAAATTTCCCAAACAGGAAATCAATTAATCAATCTTAATTTGGTGTGAGGAAACATAACATATCATTGACAAAACAAATAAGCTATTGCCTTAGGTCTCATGACAAGACCTGGATCCCGGACCAATTTACTTTTTCGTTTTGACGTCCCCGGAGGCAAAAAAACCATTTGTTTGAATTCATAAATGTGTCCGTTAGCACAATCACTCGAGCAAAAATGATCCGATTTTGATGAAATTTGGTATAAATGTGTAAACCTACAATTTATTTAAAGGAATTCACTAACCAGCATGATTGGACTATGGGAACGGGGGTTTATTAAGGGGTTTTATGGGGCAGGGAAATATGATTTTCCCATTTTTGACCCTAAAGTTAGCCTAGCTTGTTTATGAATATATTTTAGTGAAATTTGGCAAATTTGTTTTCATTCTAAGCTATCAATAAAAACACACAAATCCTCCCTGTTGCAGAAACCAGTAAGTTACTCATTAAAAGTTATGTTATTTATACAGGAAATAAATCTGAAAATTTTAAGGGCATATTTTAGTGGAAATACAGCCAGGTAAATGGAAATTTGCTTAGTCTACAGGTTTGCGCTTGGAACCGTGCTGTTGCCTTATCGTCCCGTGCAAACGTCGCAAGTGAATAGGCCTAGGCCTATTTGTAAATATGTTATATCGTCGATCATTTATTTATGTTACATACTGGTACTACATGATTACCTATGTGTTTTGATACAAACTTTTGACACACCCTTCGGGCAAGCTTCCCATACAACGATCTGTTGATGGATGAACAGCGGAAATGTGCATAATCCATTAAAGATGAAACTTGGACCATAAGGCAACAACAGGTATTTTAATCTTTATATTAGTTTATTTCAGGTAGGAAGTCACGATACACACATAGACCTGCATTATATTGGCTACCCAAAGCACAGGTTATGTCTTAATTCCCCAAATAAAATAAAAATAATACAATAAATTGGATACCGGTAGTAGGCCTACTGTAGGTATACAAAAAGATTTACTGGCACTATAATGTGTGATCAGAATAACTTAACTGTTTACAAGACAGATTTGCAGCTAGGCCCTACATCTCGTTTCACTGTGTGGATACCAAATGAGCCTGCCGTAAATGCAAATTACCTATTTAGGAACTGAAAAACTATGCATGAGCCCCAGAGCCCCTAAAGGAGTATAATTTTTAGTGCATTTAAATATTGATGGATCAAACCATAGGCTAAATTGATATATTCAATGAATGAAAAGTTTCTAACCCCTCAAAAACTTATTATATTATCTTTACAAGGTTTCATATGGTAACTTGATCATTCAAAGTTATGGGATCTATTGAGCTTTGATATTAACCATGTAATCTGAAATGTTAGCAGAAAACACTTTATTATTCAGAGCTAGCTATGCAGTTTTTGGAACTTTATTACAATTTAGTAAGGGAACCTTAAGTTTAATAAATCACACACTATTGGATCAAATTCTGTGGCATGAATAACTAATTTTACAGGTAACAAAATCCATCATGCCACCTTCACCTAGATGAATGATACAGCGCTCCCACGAGTCTAGTCTATTGTTGGCATAATTGGCTTTTACTATGTCTGCATTGCGTGAATTCAGGATAGCAAATACAGTAGTGTTCATGAAACACAAAAAAATGTTCAAATACAACAATAAACTAGAACTGGTTGATCACAAATGCACGTAACAATTTGTCCGTTTACTTCCTACCAATAACTTGACCGCTAAAAGCTGTTTCTTACCTATAAGTTAGCTTGTGCTGTGAAAGATGGTTCTATTTTTGAATCGGAAAACGTGAGTATTGTAAAGCCACTCTTAACCACACCCCGCTAAGCTGAAACCTGGGTTAACCTAAACTATAATATAAAATTAAAATCAATTGTAATAACTTAGCTAAGCAATTGGAATTGTGTGCTAAATTTATGGCCAACGGGATTGCCGGCTTTGTCAACAAAATGTAAGGGACAGACCACGACACGGGGGCTTCTCATTCAGTGATAGAAATACATTTTAGAAAAAACAAAACAAAAAAATCTGTTAAATTGGAGAAATAAAATAGAAAATAGTGTAAGTTAGCCTAGGCCTATACGGTTAACAACAATAAACATAGGCTATAGGCTGTACCTACCCAGCATATTCTCAAACAATTTATACTGGTCTGTATTTCTAAGTCACCAAAAACTTCATGAAACCTACCTATACCAGATCTAAGCTTACTAGTCTAGTTTTGAAGTGTAAATAATTGATTAGACATTAGAAAGTGTGGAGACCTAGGATCTACTGGGGGCTTTGCTTTGCAATAGTAAACATTACTTGAAGTAACAACTTACTGATTGAATGAGCACTAAAAGCGTCCGTAACGTCAAGAATTGCATCGTCTTGAAATCTTGTGTATCCGTCAATTTGTGGTTCCCCCATAACTAAGTTAGGGTTAACCACCAACTTAAATTTGTAAGATAGGGTTTCGGGCTAATGATTGACAGTAGTTAGGCTTGTGACATTTTTACAAATTTGTTACAGAATAACAGAATACAGTTTTCAGTTTACTGTTACACCACCCACAGCTGGTGTTTGACAATTGTGTAATATGACAACAGCTGAGACTTACGCACAGGATTAAAGGTTGTTAGCTTTGCTTCCACTGTAGCATTGATTAATAATACATGTAGTCAGTATACCTCATGTATGAAATAAGACGTCTTAAAAATAAGAACGATTTGAATAGTTAAAGGGTCGTTTAAGTTAGCATGCATTTACAAAGCACTATATATCACAATATAAAAGTTACTTACATGTATATAGTATTAATATGATCCACAGATTCTTATGCATGCAATTGATTGTAAAAACTGCGTTTTACCGTAAATAAATAGATTGTAATACATCAAATAGGTAATATGGTAGTAGTAATTTATATATATCACTAGCAGAATGAATAACCCGTCCTTCGTTCTGGGTTGGCGTATAAGTATAAAATGTATATTGCAGTTCCAGTTACATTGTACCCATGCTCTGCGTTTGCAATGGGAGAGGACACGTTTTGAGAAAATTTTGTTCATTAAATTTATGGTATGCTATTATAACACATCTACCATAGCCATAATGTTCTACCACTGCTTCTAAACAATAGAAGAAAGTAAATTATCAAACATTCGCACAATGTCACAATTATTTCAATGACGTAGCCCCAGGTCCTGGGGGTCCGGACCCCCACCCCCTTCTGATCTTAAAGAATTTTTTGTTATATTAAATGGAAAATTATATAATCATACTGTATTGATGTTGGGGTTGATTATTTTCAACGCCAACAGAGCTAAAAAAGACCGTTTTAGGGCCTATATTTTTAAAAATTTTCCCGGAACCCCCCTTTTCCCTGGGGGATAAAGAATACCCCCCAGACCCCCCGGTCGGTCGACCACCCTATTTTGAAATCCTGGCTACGTCACTGATTATTTATTAAATTAAAAACATAAACATATGGTAATTGTGAACAATCCTACTTTGACAGTGACAGTTCTCATCGTGTATCACAGTTTTTTGTTACTGCTTAGTTTAAATTAGCTGTTGTCAAAAATGAAAAAAAATAGTACTGCACCCTGTTGGTAAACCTTGTAACTTTTAAATGCTATTTAAATATTATAGAACCATTTTGTTTAGTTTGAAACAGCTGTCAAATTCTTCAATTCCTTTTAAATATAAATAATCATAAGAATGACATGGAAACTTTGAAGCCCCGTGGGACGTACCGTAGCCCTATAGAATTTTCACATCTTTAATATGCCTATGTGTTTCTCAAGATTATCAAGTAGCTACAAAATGTCAGCTCAATCGGTCTAGCAGTTTTCACAAGATAGAATCTCAAAGTTACACACAAACATCCATACTTTCACATTTATAATATTAGTAGGGCATATTTAATTGGTACCTACCTATTAGTTCAGTTCATGGACATTTTAGATACAGTAAATGCCATGATGTGGTGGATAAATAAATGTTAGTTAATATTTTTTTATTAAATATAATGATGAATTATTTTATTTTCTTTATGGATCAGCCGAAGACAATTACAAAAAAGTCAAGTCTAATAACGCTGGATGAGTACCGCGGGTTCATTTCTTTATTTTTAGGTTATTTATAAGTTCAGACTAAATATAAATATATACTTATCGTCCATTAGTGTTATTAACTAACGAGTAGAATTTATCCTAAAATATGAATTGAACATCTACACAATATCAACGCATTAAAGCGTTACCGGGCAAGAACAAACCTAAATCAAACTCGTCAACTTTTCAAAAAAATATAGGTGGTGTGGATTGAACTCACCGTTGTCTGCAGATATGGTTATATGAACAAAGTGGATATTCAATTTACAGGGTGCCACAAGTGAATGTCGGTAGATGTCACTAGCTTCCTGTCCCGACTGCGACATCTTTCTGTCGAGACCATCGATTTCTGGTCTCGAAAACTTCATCTGAAAAGGGTAAATGGTCTAAGATCGATTTGCTTTCCGGTCAGCCTTCAAAAATAATATTTTGTAATTTTAATGTAGATGTAGGCCCTACATATGCATGATGATTCAGAAATAATCTATTTAACGGTATTCACAATTTAAAGATAAGTGTTAAATATTTTAAATCTGTCATAACATGTTAAGTTTACTTTAGGATGAAAGTAGTGAGATAATGGACATAAACACTTTTTCAATTTACAAGGGATTCTCAGCCTCTTTTTTTTATAAAAACCGGTTGGTTGTATGTGCATGTGCAACAGCAAATGGAAAAATATCATTTTACTTGACCAATAGTTATTTAAAAAAATGCACGTCTGCCTTGCATTTATGTCGAAGACTTTTTCAATGTATAAAAAAGGCTGATGTGATTGATACTGCATATCGGAAAAAACTTTCTATAAAATTAGAAGTATAACAGGGATGGTGTCATAGGGTTAATATTTCACAGAAGGTTGTAATTTCGGGACCTTAATTACTTATCGTTCTCTGGTGTGACAAGAACATACACCTATAAGAGCTGTGTGTTTTTAATGTATTTGTAAGCGTTTCTGACAACGTTCTTTTATTTACTATTTTACTTTGTAATTTCAGTGTATGAGGATGTAAGAAAGTACGGGAGTAATTTACAAATCAGCTGTAACCCTTTCCCAAGCCAACTCCTCAAGTGGCCCCTTAAAAGTAAGAGTTTTATACTTTTTTATATATGTACAAATCAAAATACAATTTTTGCTCACCATTGTTGTTATAAATGAAATAAATTAACATTTTGTTTGTATGAAGTGATTTTAAGTTAAGTTATTTTTTTGAAACCATCATTACCTTTTCTTTTTTTTCACATCCACCTTGATAACCTTATAATTTATAGTAACTGCAGGTATCAAAACAACTCTGTTAAAAATAATTTAGCTATGTAGGCACTAAGGCACTACTGTCCCTTGAGTTAAGGCAAACAGATCCCACTTTTAAATAGTCAACAATGACTAACCTCTGTCTGTGTGTGTTTGAATTTTACAAATATATCAATATACATTACAAGCTGGTTTATATAGAACTTGAAATGTGCTACAGTTTCCTATCCTGGTAAAATGGATATTCAAATTGATATACATGTCTTTAGTGATTTTGAAACAATCTTTATTGGAAAGATATTTAAGCCAAACTATTTCCGAGAAATTTGTTTGCCACCTATTTAGTTTATTCATTGAACAGAATAAATGGGAGTTTTAAAAAGTTACACTTTCTCTCTTAAAAAGATTTGACATAGCATAAAATATTTTTTTCTTAGTGACATTATTTTTTTCTCCTGTCTTAACTTTTGTGTCATTGGTTCATATTTCATACATTGGAATACATAATGATATAAAGGTATTTTGATTGATTAAATGATTATAACTGAAAAGTGTAACTAGACGTTTTCGTTTCATAAAAGTTTATCAACTTCTCAATTTAATGTGTGACCAGTGGCCAATAAAAAACAATATCCATCCGATATATTCGGACTGCATACAATTAGACGAGGTTCTTTAAATTATGCTAAAAGAGGGAAAAATAATTTTATCCTGGTAACTTTAAATTGACCAAGTTCTCAGCTTAAACAATAACCAAACTAAATTGGACCCGCTGAAATTGTAAACCTATTCCAAGAGTATTGGATATCTGAAATTGAAATTGTAATACAAAACAACTGAAAGCCTTTCACTGAGAACACTGTTGTAATTTCCTTCATTTGACTGTAACATGTTAATTTATCTGTGATTATATCCGACTCCGAGCATCAATGTTAAATATATACGGGGTGAGTTTAAAATGAGTCCCCCCCCTACTTTTACCTACATTTCAAAATATCAACTCCAGACCACGTCAGAATATTGTAGAGTAGTAAGTACTTCATTTTGACTGGGTACAAATTTTTGGCCACCATCTTGGATCCACCATATTGTATACAAAGTTTTTTTTTCAAATGTAAAGGTAGGTTTGTGGCCCATCGTTTCAAACTAGATTTTTACTCACTTAAAACTCACCATATAGCATTATTGAGCTGCATTATTTCTTAATCACACTTTTTATTAGATGATAACTAAGTTAGCCTAAAACTGCGATGAATTTCATTTTTTTGGCAAAGCTTAACAAAACTTGTATTCTTGAATCAATGCAGTGTTTCTTCATGAATATCTATTTTGTTGAAATTTTGAAAATCACTTCACTGTAGGGTATGCCTAGTTCATTATTAGCTATTAACAAATTCACATAATAAAAACACTTTTTTTAGACCTTTGTATAGTAACAACAAACCGAAAAATATTCTTTAAAGTCATTTTAAATGCCAAAATATAAATTTGGGTCGCCGGAATTTTATCCCCCTGGAATTTTACCCCCTGGGCAAAGCTGACGTCACTATGACGTAGTAACCTGAGTGGCCAAAAGTTTGTTCGCGGCCGGAATTTTACCCCCGCGGATTTGGAAGTCTAATGAAAATAGTCAGAGCGTGATTAATTAGATTAGCGATAAAAACCGGAATTTTACCCCCTGTCCATATAACTAGCGTTTAGGCAACTGAAGATGTACGGGCCGGAATTTTACCCCCCGGAATTTTACCCCCCGGAATTTTACCCCCTGGCTGATTTTAAAAAATTGAATGATTGATTTTCTTATTTCTTTTTTTAATTAATTGTAAACATTTCATTATTTAGTAGCCTATCTTTATTTATTTATTTTGTAATCTCAACTAAGTTAACAGAATTCGATGTTTTATTTTGAGCATATTAACCAACAGTTGGCTTCAAAGATCGAATCCTGACACTCGAATCTCAAAATTAATATTAAAACCATGTTCGATTAGTTAATGTTACATATAAATTAAGATAGGCTACTTAATAATAAAATGTTTACCATTAAATTAAAACTGAATGACGATAATTAATCATTCTCGCTAATTTATATCTAGTCAGGGGGTAAAATTCCGGGGGGTAAAATTCCGGGGGTAAAATTCCGGGGGTAAAAATCCGGGGGGTAAAAT